GCTGGGTCTTCCCATCCTCCCATGGTCCCAGGGTGGCAGTCAGCCAGAGCTTGGGGCCAGCAAAGGGGAGCCCCTTCTGGCTTCTCTGAGATCCGTGGGGGGCTGGCCCGAGTTCTGAGGGACCCACTGGAGCCCACTGTGCTGCGCTGGGCCTGAGACCCATCCCAGAGGCCGCCGTGTGCCCCGCAAAGCCACAGGCCTCTTCCAGAGGGATGAGGAGGTGGAGGCCAGGCCCGTGGCCCCCATGCTCTCCGATGGGGACACTGGGACTCGGGGTGGGTGCGGGAGAAGGCCTCCACCCCAGACCCCAGAACAGTGGGCCAGTGTGTGGGCCAGGGGTGGGGGGCAGGGTGCGGGAGGAGGCCCGAGTGGGCTGGGTCCTGCTTCATAACCCCCCGGCGGGAAGCTGCCGACTCCTGTGCACTGTGTTGACACAGGGGTGATGTCACCGCCGACCAATGGGGAGCCCGTCGGGGGCTCTGTGTGTGCTCCTCTGCACTCCGTGGGCCCCGCAACGCACGGGGCGCTATCTGAAAGCCACCTGAATAAACCCAAGGGGCCCTACTTCCTCCCAGTCTTGTCTCCTGCAAGTCCCACCAACCCTGCTGCCCAGACAAGAGAGGCGGGCGCAGGGAGGGGTGGGGTGGGAGGAGGCCTGAGCCCTGGGCCTGCACTCCGCTCAGATGTGTGGCCCCCAGAGCCTCTCCCCCAACACCCCTAAACCTCCTTGGCCACTCTTCCACACATCGGGGTTCCCGTGGCAGCCAAGGATCCCCCAGGCCACACCCTGGGCCATGTCATGGCAGTGCCTTTGTCCCCACTTCTGCCCAGAGCCCTGACCTGCAGCCCTGCCCAGACCCGCTGCTCCGAATGCTCCGTGTGGTCGGTGTTCTGCCAAGCACCCTCTGGCCCACCGCTCGCCCAGGTCTGGGACTGGCCGCCAGGAGGCTCTGTGCCCCCAGGGTCAGCGCTGGTGGCCGTCCTGTCTCAGGCATCCTGAACTCCTGACCTCTTTGTTCCAGAAAGCCTCGAACCCAGGGTGCTCTTCCCATGTCGGCGGCCTTCCCTTCCTCCTCCCCCACCTCCGGGGGACTCTTCCCGCTCCGTTCAGGGTGAACGCTCCTGCCCAGCCTCCCGCCCCCGCTCCTCCGCCCAGTGAGCCTTCCATCTGGGCAGATGGGTTTCTGCAAAGTGTGGCAATCCACGGCCTGCAGCCCGCAGGTGCCCCTGCCCCCTTGTTAGCTCTGCTTCCCGGGCCTGCAGGACGTACCGAAGGGCCTGGGCACGTGGTGGCATCGGGCAGGAGCGGGACGGGGCCCCCCGCGCTTGGCGCCTAGATTGTTTGCTGGTCCAGCCCCGGCCCGCGCCGCTCCCCGCGGGCCCGGCTGCCCGCCTGTGTCCGGCCAGGTGTTCAGTGTCGGAGCGCGGGGTCCCGGAGGACAAGGATCTCAGTGTCTGCTTTATGCAAGCACGGTGCTGACAAGGAACAGAGTATCCACAGTGACCGCTTCCAGGAAACGGCTCCCGGCGGGCGGGGTCCGCCAGGGAGCAGCCCCTTCACAGCAAGCTGGCCTGCAGGTGGGCTTCTAGGAAGGGGCCCTGCTGGTGCCCTTGCCCCGGCAAAGGGCCAGCCATATCACCAGGTGCAGGCTGGGGAGAGGTGCAGAGAAAGGAGGGGCGGGGGGAGTAGAGGCCGAGGGGCCTGGGCCGTGGCCTGGTGTGGATCCCACAGCCTTGAGGGAGGCCCAAGCTGGCCACGCTCCTTCTAGGGCCTTCTGTTACCCCTTTGGGGGTCATGCAATCTCCACTGGGGCCCCTGGCTCCAGACCTTGTCGGTGCAGCACACGAGGGAACCCTGGACACAGGGAGAGGCGAAGGAAAGTGCTCCCAGCCCAGGCCAGGGTTGGGTTCCAGCTCCCTGTTGGTGCCGCCCCGCTGGCCTCTGGCCTGGGCCATGGCCCACGGCACCCTATGTCCTCCTGGAGCCCGGGTGCAGCGAGGGGCCGCCTCGCAGGCCCATCCTGTTTATTGAGACTTGCCGCTGCCCCAAATGTCACATAGGGCCTGGTTAAGGGACGTCGTTTCTTTCATGCTGTCGAAACTTTTTCTGTTCCCACTCAGGGGTCATCCAGAGCCGGCCTCCACTCTGCCCCCACTGTCCACGTCCTGCCTGAAGGTGGGTCTGGGATCATTAAACTGGGCCGAGACCAAACCCACACACACACAAAGGCATGCACGGGCAGGCCCAGAGTCCATGCTCCAGGGGACACTGCCTCCCCGGGGCCGGGCCACACAAAAGCCAGCAGGCCCTGCAGAGCGCCGCTAAGCAGGACGGGGCCCGCTTCCATGCCTCCAGCATGACCACACGGCTAGAGACCCGCGCTCACAGCCCCAGACACACGCTCGTGGACACACAGTGCAAGAGAGGAGGCTGGTCAGGGCTGCGAAGCCCGGGAGCACGCAGCTGGCAGCACTGAACTCCTCGAGGACATGTGCGCGCACACACACACACACACGGACACACACGTGGACGCACAGACATGTGGATGCACAGACACGTGGACGCACACGTGCACACACAGTCGTGTTGAGTGCTGTTTTCTGGGCAGTTTGGCCACTCCTTGGCCTAAACCCTCCAAAGCAGCACAGCCCGGGCAGGGTCCAGGCGTGAAGGCCCAGGCCTCCCCCACCCCCCCCGCCCCCGTCGGGTTTGGGAGTGAAATTCAAGCCCCTGTTTGCTTGCTGATATTTAACTCAGCACAGGGGCATTGTGAACATGACTTTGGTGGGGGGTCCCGGCCTCTCTCAGAGCCCCCTCTGAGCCCCTTCTCTAAAAGGAGGAATTTGGGCTGGGCCAAAGTAACACATTCTAACTTGGGGTCCCCAGCTCCACGGAGGGGCAGTTTTCCCAGCCCGGGCAGGGCTCATCCCTAGCTGCAGAGCCAGGCCTAAGCCGTGGGTCCACGCCCCACCACCATCCTGCCTGCGGGCTGCCCGCACCTCGCCCAGGGACCTCCAGGTGGCTTCCCTCCTGGTGCCGCAGGGAACCAGCCTTGGATGCAGAGTGGGTGTTGACTGCCCTGTGTGTGCAGACAGGTGTGTGCACGGTCCCAGACTGACCTGGGGAACACGGAGTTGTCTCCCCAAGGTGGGTGTGGAGAGGAGCGTCCACCCCAGCCTAATGCCCATCCAGATGTGCCCACTTCCCCAGATCAGCCTCAGGGCCTCAGGTGGAAGCCCGGAACAGAAGGGTGGGTGTGACCGGATAAGGCCGCAGCCCCACTGTACTCGCAGCTGGAATCCGTGGAAGCAGGCAGAGTCCTCTGTGTGACCCAAAGAGGTTTCCAGGCCACCCGAGGTGCCCACACCACCTTCCCCAGCCCCTGGGAAGTCAGATGTTTGCCATCTGAGGCCCAGCTTTGAAAGCTCTGGGAGAGCCGAGAATTTGCACTAAGGGCTGTGGGGAGACCCTGCCTGAAGGACGGGTCCCTTTGTCCCACTGGCAAAACCCCTGTCGGTGAGTCCAGCCAGCTGTGGGCCTGGAGACGGGTGTGGCCTCGCCCGTCAGCTGCCCCCTGGCCTGTGAAAGCCTCGGGGGCAGCAGCAGGCACTCAGGAGACCCTGAGGCGCCGTCGGCGAGGCCTCCTGCAAGCACGCCCACCCCTGCTGCGGAGCGGACCGCGGCCCGGCTGGCTCTTGTGCCCCGGGAGTCCTGCGGCCCCCGTCGGGTGGGAGGATGGGGCCCAGGGAGGAGACCAGACACACGGGCTCCGTGGGGAGTGCACGGCGGGGTGAGCTCCCGGGGCCCGACTCAGGGCAGCCGAGGGCCATGCGGCCCGGACGCTGGGAAAGGCCGGAGAGCAGGGTCTCCCAGGACTTCGCTATCGCATCTCGGTCAGTCGGCCCGCGAGGCATTTCCTGTCTGCCCAGAGCTCAGGAAGGGGTCAAGGACCCGGCCCTGTTTCCAAGGGCCGCTCCCTCGGGCTCCCGCCCTGCGCCAGGCGCCCAGGAGCTGAGAGGCCCACAGGGGCTCAGAGGCAGAGGACGTCATTGGCTCAGCCTCTGTCCTGTACCCAGACACCGACCACGAACCCCAGGAGCAAACCCAGGCCAGGCGCCGGCAAGACACGGCCCTGGGGTATCAGCGGCAGGACCCCAACCACGGGACCCCCGCCACCCCGGGCCCTCACCTCCTCCCTCACCCGCTCTGCCCCCGTTGCCCCTGTCCTCTGCCCACGGAGAGCTCGAACTCACCCCGGCCTGTCCGCCCCTTGCTGCAGCTGAGTGGACTCCCTGGAGCCTCTCCCTTGTTGCCCCCCGTACCCCCCGCACCCCTCTGCGCCCCCCTCTCCCTCCACAGCGCAGTGTGAGGGGAGGGGACATCTCTGTGTCCTCGAGTTCTGGGCTCAGCACCGGCAGGGCTGTTGGTGGGGCTGGCCGGGCCGCCTGACCTCATGGGCCCACGTCAAGCCCGCTCCCCTCGGATGACTCCACAGACCAAACCCCCAGGTCGGGATTCTGGGGCCTGGGGCGCAGGCTCGGGGAGGCTCAGGTGTCATGCGTGCGGGCAGTGATTTGCGGGGCAGGGCGGAACTTAGAGACATTCGGGTGGCCCCCACCAGGGCCGACGACCCTCTTCGCCACCTCAGCCCCCACCTCTCCCTGCAGGGGCCCCCCGGGTCCCACAGCAACACCCTCTCCCTGTGGTGCTTGCCCTCCACCTTGTGTTCCCTCTGCTGCCCCAGCCCACAGGCCACAGCCCCCCAGGCCGTGATCCCACCTCGGCCCCACCCCTCCTGTGTGCCTCAGTCCACCCCCGACACCCCCTGCCCAAGCCCCATCCCCACCCCTTCTGCCCGCTTTGCTCCCATGTGCCCCGCCCCGCCCCTCAGGTTCCTCCCGGTCCCCTGTGTGCCTTTGTGTGTCCCCCATCTACGTCCCGACCTCCCCGTCCCTGTCCCCCCCAGCCCAACGGTCCCAATCAGAGTCCTGGAGACAAATTCCTGTGACTGAGTTTATTGATGAGTCCAGGCCTTCTGGGGAAGTCCTGGTGGGGAGGGGCACGTGGCGAGAGGGCCGCGTGACGGAATGCTTCAGGGCTGGCTCGGTGTTTGGAGCCTCCAGACTAGGCGAGGGGAGGGCGGGGCCTCACACACTCAGGCCCCAACCCGGTCACCCCCAGACAGAGATGAAGGACGGTGGGCGCTGGGCGGGGGCACGCAGGCCAAGGAGGCCGGGCCACTCAGCAGTTTGCTCAGACACTCGCTCAGAGACCCAAGGCTGGTTCCAGAACCCCAAACCAGTGCAAACGACTTAGTGCAAATTAATTCAGGAGGGACGGGGAAGCGGAGTCCTGGATGCTCTGGGTCCTCTGAGCAAAGGATAGAGGAGAGAAGAGTAGAAAAAAGTCAGAGAAAAGGATGAAGAGGAGGAAGGGAGGGTGCTGATGGTCTCCTGGACGTGGCGGGGTGGCCGCAAAGATGGAATTGCCGGGCGGGGGGTGGGTGTGGCCGCGGGTGCCGCTGGTTTGTCCGGTGTTGTGGGTCGTCTGTTCCTTTGGCTTGACCTGCAGGCAGAGACTGACATGAGGGTGGGGCAGGGCAGGCAGGCCAGGGGACCTCGGGCGGGTGCCTGCGCCCACCTTCCAGAGCTGGTTCCTGAGTCAAGTGGTGTAGTGGTTCCAGAATGCAGCATATTCTTGGATCAGAGCTAGAAGGACTTGAAGAAGTCCGGGTTCCAAGGCCCAGGCATGAGCTGGGTAGCACCATTTCTGCGGGTCGGGAGAGAGTGAACGCTCGTCTTTTGGCCCCACCCCTCCCTCCCCCGTGGGAGGCGGGGGGCCCCTCACCTTGTCGTCTTGAGGGTTCTGGGGTCTAGAGAGCAGCATAGTGTATTGGCTCCTTCAGGAAAGCAAAGGAACAGAGATGCTGGTGCCCAGCTCCCCGCGGGGCCAGCCAAGGATGTTCTACGGGAAAGAAGACGGCGTGAGGGCCAGATGCGGCTCAGTCAGCCTGGGGGCCGTGGCCTGCACACACACTTACCAGGGAGGCTGGACGGCGTCCTGTCTGTCCTCGCCGTCACGCCGGACCATATCATGTCCCTCTGAGCATGTCCTACCTACCGCCCGGCCTTCGGTGGCTGGCAGACACGTCCACCCCTGCCGGAGACGTGACTGCGAAAACAGGAAGACGCTGGTTGAGTGGGCAGAGGCGGCGGTGGGGGTCGCGGGGGAGGCGGGCTGGACACTCACCCTCGTCTCCGGTCCGAGCGCAGAGGCACCGATCTCTGCTCCATCATCACCCGCAGAGGCCCGCTTGGCCACGGGCTCGGAGGCCAGTGCCCCCTGGCTCCCCACCAGGCTCCGGCTCCTCACCCCCGCCTGCGCCCCAACCTCCCCCCCCCCGAGAAGTCCCACTCACTCCGCCCCGCCCGCCTCGCCTAATCTGGTCTCGCCAATGCCCTTGACTCCCCTGGATGCTGTCCTGTCTACCGTGCCAGTCCCAGAGGTGAGCGGTGAGGGCGTACAGTGTCCCCACGTGCCGGGGGCCCTCCCGCACCAGCCCCTGGGCCGCAGTGCCTCGTGGGAACGGCGCGTCCGCAGGCCAGGCCCCCAGCAGCCTCCTTGCTGCGGGAATCTCTCAGGGGCCCACCCTGCGGCCACCGCTCCCTCCAGGTGACAACCCGCTGCGGTTCCCCGCGCACTGCTCCTTCTGTCCCTTTCTCCAGCCCTCGAGGCTCCGGCTCAGGCCGTGGGAGGCCTGGACGGAGCCGCTCCTGTACCTTCTCCTAAATGAATTGCAGTGGGTGAGGTGGCGGCTGGGGACCCTGCGGTCCTGAGTCCCCTGCCTCGTCCTGTCCGACCCGGGCCTGGAATGCCCCCGCAAGTGCTGGATCTCTGCGGCCCCCTGACACCTCCCTCGCTGGCAGCCCTTCCTCTTCTCCCCGCTACTCTCTCGAAATGCTCTTCCCGCCTGGGACGGCCTGCGGCCCCCAGCCTGCCTGGTCTCAGCTCCCCCTGAGACGGTGTCCCCTGTGCTGCCTGCCCTGCCATCATCCCCGCTCTGCCGGGCAGTCTCCCGCTTCACCTCGCCGGCCTTGCTCCCAGAGCCTCCTGGTGCAGAGGCCAGTGGAGCAAGGCCCAGGGAGGGAAGGGGACTCACCTGGCCCGGCAGACCGCTGTCTCCACCTGCCCACGGCTGCCAGCTACACCGCCACGGCCCCTGGCCCCGGGGCGCACCACTCTCCAACTGCCCCTGTCCACCAGCCGCCACGACCTGAAACCAGAATTGACCGGGATGAATGTCTGGCTCCCCCCTCTTCCTCCTGCACCCCCGGCTTGGGCCCCTCACTCTCCAGCCGATGCTATCCTGCCTCCTGGGCACCTGGGAGCCCGCACCTCGTCCCCACCAGGCTCCCAGGTGCCCGCCAGCCCTGCCCAAGCCAGCCCCTCAGCCCCTCTCCGCTCCTGCCAGACTCCAGATTCCAAGGTGATCCTTGGCCCACGCACACGTCCCTGCACCCCGCTTCCCCACGCTTCCCTGGTTACCCCTCGGCTCCCCCGCTTCCCCAGTTTCCCCCGAGCCCCCCCATCCCTCCCACCACCCCCCTCCCACACCCTGCTGCCTGGGCCCTAGCCCGGGCTTTTTCTAACTGGAGTAGCCCCGCCCAGAGTTCCCGCCCCTGCTCCGCCAGCCAATCAGAGCGGGGACCGTGCTTGGGGCCACCACAAAGCCCACCTCCGCCGGCTCGGTCTAGCGCACGTTCCTCGCCTGTCCTGGAATTCTCCAAAGAGGGCCTTCCCCGCACCCCTCCTTTGGCATCCTGTACACAGGGCTTGGCATTGTCCCCAAGCCTCCCCTCCCCCCTTCCCCGGGTTGAAACGGTCATGTCCCCTCAGGGCGGACCGTGCCGTGCAGGCGGCTCCCCGCCCAGCCCCCACCGGGCGCACACTCTGCCCTTGGATGGAAGTCCTAGCTGGGGCCCCAGGGGCTCAAGTGAGACTTGGGGACGCCTTCTGCCACCACCACGGCTGAGACCGCATTTTACCCCAAGGTCCCAGGGTCCACGGAGAGGTCCCGCGGGGTGCGCTGGGGGGTCGGGGCTCAGGCTGGGCCAGAGAAAGTGCCCGAGGTCTGCCTGTGTCAGGCGGGCGCCAGCGCCCAGCTCCAGGACTGTCTAGTTGATGGTGCCTATCGCAAGCACAGCAGGTTTTATGTGGTGGGCTCCCCGTTGTGGCCGGGGCGCCTCGTCCCCTCGCCACCGCGGTCCGTCGTCTGGACGCGGCACGCCTGCCGTGTCCCGCAGCTCACGGGTGCGCTCTGGTGACAAGCTGTGCAGCCTCACAGCCCTGCCGTGGCCGCCCTATGCACCGCCGCCCGGAACACGCTGCCGTTCAGTCAGAACAAAGACCTGTGAGCTTCGAGCCCGCCCAGCTACCCCTGGATACCCCGTCCTTGGGGCGGTCACCTTGGTCTTGAGGGGGTGGGGGGAACTGGGACCCTACAGTCCAAAGGGCTGGGCCACCAAATCTAGGGTGCTGCTGCCATTGGGTGAGGTCACGTCTAAACAAGGGACCTCGAGCTTTACAGGGTCTCCCGCACCTCGGAGAGAGCCTTGGGGAGACCCTGCTCCTGGGAAGCGCGTGAAGTGCTGCGTGTCCCCTGCCAAACCTGAGAGCCAGCTTTTGCCATGGGTGAACCCCCAAGTTTACAGTGGAAAACCCAGCCTTTGCTATGGGTGAACCCCACATTTACATTCGGAAAACCCCAGGCTTTGCTATGAGTGGACCCCCAAACTTATTGTGGGAAAACCCAGCCTTTGCCATGGGAAGAGCCCCAAGCTGGGAAGAGGTAGACCCCCACGTCTGGCCGTGAGCAGACCGCAGCCTCGGCCAACCTGGCAGTGATGTCCGAGCCTGCGCTGCCGCCTCGCGGCCGCCTCTGGCCCCACACCCACGGCTGCTTGGTGCCACTCGGTGCGAACGACCTGTGGTACTGGCCCAAGGCGAGGAGAAGAGACCCCCCACAATCCTCTTGCGCTCGGCAGGGCAGCACCCAGTACCCTGCTGCTGGAGGCCCGTGGGAAGGGTCTCCCTCTGAAGCCGAATGCATGTAGCCCGAGGTGTGGGGAGGACTCATTGCTCCCAAGTGCCCCCTCTCCTCTCCGTAACTTCAACAGTGCAGCCGAGGGTGACTCAGATGGGGTGACCTGGGATGGCTCGGATGAGCGCCCCATCTTGCTGATGGTCCTTGTGAACCACGCGGTATCCGGCCGGGTTGGACCCGGCACGCCGTGCAAGTGGATCCCGGTCACGGCCACCCAGGTCAGAGATGTCC